GTATGTCTTTTTTGCCATAACGGGTACAGTTCCGCAGAGAACCTGCGATATATTATCGGATGAATAACATTATATATCAATAATTATCCGATTCAATACATCGTTCCCTATGTTTTTTCACTATGTAAACATCAAATTGAGTTAGGCCTATGATTTGCAGATTTGGTGAATTGGTTTTGCAATATTAATATCAAATCAGATATATATACCGTTCGATAACATATCGCAGGTTCTCTTAGGAACTGTAGATAAGTTAGGCTCTACCACCAAAACACAACCTAATTCATGATAGGTACCTATTGGGTAATAACGTAGCCTAAGGTTCATCACACAGTTAAGAGAGTTTCTCTTTTTTGTGACCCACTTATATAGGAAGTCTTTGATTTACACTATATAAATATTCCGGCAGTGCTAACTTGTGTAAAAGAAAACTGTATTAGTTGAATTTTTTTAAACGCACACATAGGCCTATACACACACCAAACTACATCCGACCGTTGCACTCATTTCAGTCAGTGCTCACCCCAATATTTGTCCGTTCAAGTGACTGAGGATTACTTTTACCACTACCTAGGTCAAAATTTTCAATTTTCAGATTTAGATTTAGCTTTAACAAGGCTACTCAAAAGAAGCAAATGCCATCAAAATATAAAATAGATTTCACTAACAATTTATTATGTGTACCTAGTTGTACGCTATCCTGGGTGTTGATCAGGAAAATTAAAATATATACAAATTCTAGTGCTAATACTAATCTCTTTTATACAGAGGCAGAACCGGTACGCAAGAACACTAGGATCGTGGTGTAATAGAAATATATGTTGTTGCTACTATAGGCTAATCAAGAATTGGCTTCGCCCAGCAAAGTTTAGGATTGTTGCAAGGTAAATTTATTGTGTTATTTATAATTTAGGTTAAAGAAAAGATTGCTTATCTAATTACCTAATATAGAATATAATTAACAGATTAGGCCAACATCTACCTACTGTGATGTTTTCTTTTCAAATTGTGAATTTTCAGTGACAGGCTATGCAAATGAGCAAAACTTAATCTGCGGTTTTATCCATCTCTTTTTTCTTTATTGTCAAGAACTCAATGCCTTATCGACAAATTTAATTATAAAGTACAGGTATAGTAAAAAAATAGGTCTTAAAAATGCCTAACGAAGGGGTCTCCAACCTACAGCCTGTGGGCTACATCCGGCCCTCTTGCAATTTTATTCCAGCCAGCAGAAAGCCAGCATACGTTTTTGAAAATTATTATTTTTTATAGCAAACACCAATTATATTCTCCCACGATTGCGTAAACACGTGTGGTCAGGTGGTCTCAGCTATATCGTGATCATCTCCCGTGATCTCGCCAAGACTCACGAGCATATTATACTGCAGTCTCGACGGTGCCGTGATTGTCTTTTGCAATCCCAGCAACACCCTTCATTGTTGACCGTGATTTCCTTGAGGTGTAAAAAGAGAACTTTGTCAATGAATGCAGGCTCAGCCATGGGATATTTATTTACCTCGCGGCTCATACCATAATTAAGAGCAATTAACTGTCTCTTCCCCATTCAACAAAATTTGTGTACAATACCCTGTCTCCAAGTTGGCAGGTTAACGTATTTAAATAGGAACATAGTAAATGTCTCTCACTTGCTAATTTTTTCTCAATAGGCCTAGGGGAATACTAGTAGTAGTCAAGTAGCGGCAGATTAATTTAAATATATATATTTTTAATTGATCCTAATTGGCAGAACTACAAATTGAAATCTTAAACTAGCTGACATTTTAAGTGTCAAATTTTATAGCCTACTAGCTGTACCCGCGGGCTTTGCCCCGTTTAATTTCTTAATTTTCAAGATGAGCTCGTTCGCATGGCTCAATCACGTCCTGGTTGAAGTTCGTTCGCTACGCTCACTCACCTTTGGGTTGGAGCTCGTTCGCTACGCTAACTCGCCTCCAGGTAGAAGTTTGTTCGCTACGCTCACTCACCTTTTGGTTGCAAATTAGCTGTTGTCATAAATTTAAAAAAAATAATAGTGCTGCACCCTGTTGGTAATCCTTGTAATGCTATTGAACATCATAGAACAGAACCAACTTGTTTAATTGAAACAGCTGTTAAGATTCATTAATTCCTTTTAAATATGAAAAATCATAAGGTTAACATGGAAAACTGCAGAGCCACTGGGGCGGAGCCCGAAAGCCCGATCAGAATAAAAACTACTTAGTTTTCCTATTTAATGCCCAAAGAATCGGTGTACCGAATTTCAGCCTCCTAGGTTAATGGGAAGTTGGAGAATTAGTGATGAGTGAGTGAGTGTGTCAGTGAGTCAGTGAGTCAGTGAGGGCTTTGCCTTTTATAAGTATAGATTCTCACTAAAAAATCATTGAACTTTTTGTCAAAGATTTAGCTTAGAATGTGATTACTTCTTAATTGCACATCTTTCGTTAGAATTAGAGGCATTTATAATTTTATTTTATGAACAGAACTATATTTTAGATTATTAAAAAAGGAAACTATGTAGTTTATTTGTTTATGGATAGATTTTGATAAAATTTGGCAAACTTATTTACTTTATCCTATACTATTGACGTATGCTCAAAAAAACTTTTTATCTTGTATATTTTTTTATATTATCAGGAAGTTAGGTTAGCTTATGACAGTTTAATTTTATAATAGAATGCTCTCATTTTGTCCGTAGTAAACCTTAATTCAATTTTTTCACAATCAGCAAGTTTGGTTAATTTGGTTAGGTTACGACATTTTAATTTTATAATAGAATGCTCTCATTTCGTCCGTATCACAAAAAGCCTTTACCTTGTGACAAACGACAACTACAATCGCATCGATAGTAGATGATGTTGTGATTCGATAGAGTAGCGAACAATTAACGTTAGTCGCTAAATCAGTGGCGTTTTTAGACAAAAAAGTGCTCACCGAGGAAAAAGGGTTGGAGACACCTTGTCTAACATATTATATTTTATCTATAGCTGTCTTAGAAAATAACTCTGTTGAACCTCTTTTACAGGAACAATAGAAAACTCAAGAAGGCCATTTGGGAGATGAAGAAGACCAGAATTATTTTTTTTGTAAATTGTACATATCTTTTTTATATTTGTGTTTAAATAATTTTTAATTAAACTTATTTTATCATACAAACAAAGTTTTTTCTTTAAAATGTTTTCCTTGAATGCAATTTTGTTTTAAACAAATATGTTTTGTGATACTTTTGTTAATGTTTTGTCAAATAAGAAATATATATATATATTTACATTTTTGGGTCACCCAAGAACTTTAACAAACTACCTATAACTTCAGAATAATAAGTCAAATAAAGGTAAGAACAGTGAAGAAGTCTGAACTGATATTATTTTAATCGCCATGAAATTTGAAATGTGAAAAAATGCAACCTAATTCTTCTAAACATATTTTACCAATAAATGTATGAGACATTTATTTGATATTCAATTTAATATTTATTTAATGTCAAATTAAGTGAGGTTGAACTTAAATTGACCATTTATTTGATATCAAATGAATGTTCGCGAATATTAATTTAATATTCGAATGTCAAAAATGTTATATCAATATTTATCACCATCATATTTAAAATGTGAATGTAAATTCAATCATATTCTCTTTATTATATTTTACCAATAAATTTATGAATGTCAAATTTGATATTTATTTTATATTCAATTTGAATATTTATTTGATGTAAAATTGAGTGACGTTTGAACCTAAATTGAACGTTTATTTGATATCAAACGAATGTTCGTGAATATCAATTTGATATTCAAATGTCAAAAATTTGATAGCTATTTGATATCAAATAAATATTCGGTGCTATGTGGGTAGCTATTTGTCCTATGGTACCTCACTGTGGGCCAACAGTTTTTATGCTAACAGGTTGCTCTTTACTTTACAAAAGAAGGCGGTGAGGTTAATTTGTAGTGTGAATAGAAGAACACATTGTAAGCCCCTTTTTGTGGGTCTTAACATTCTCACATTTCCATCTTTGTATGTTTTGGCAAGTTTGTTATATGTAAAAGAAAACATTTCTCACTTTGAAAAGATATCTGATGTGCACAACTACTGTACTAGATCAAAAGATAATCTGTCTACACTAAGGCATAAGTATACAGCCACTCAAAATAGTTTTGAGTACCAAGGTGTTAAAATGTACAATTTCTTGCCTGCATCCATCAAAAACCTGTGTGTTTTAAAATTCAAACATGTTATAAAAACTACTCTAACCCAGGCTTGCCTGTATAAACATAAAGAGTACTTTGGTTTAGAGTTTTAGATATTTTAGTTGCCAGAGCCATCTTGATTGTTTAGTTTTTATTTTGACGATTGTCATGAACTTTGTACATAGTTTTAACGACAATAAATCATTTCATTTCATTTCATTTCAACCTCATCCTTAACATCAGAATCTCTTTACATCCTATACACCGTTATTTGCTCTACAAGACACAAAAGAAAAGATCCACCCCAACATAGACTCTCGAAACTCTACAATATACCGTGCAATTTACTAGCTCAAAATTCTACAATTTGCTACCCCAATAATTAAAACGTTTACAATAATACATTTGTCCAACACCTAAAAAAATACCTGCGTATATCCCGCAGCTAGGAAAACCCGCCTAACCAACCCGTCTTCTGGTATCTTGTGTGACACCTTGGGTGATTTATAATATAATCAATGTCATTGTCTATACCCATAATAGATGGGATGTCCAATTTGTATCCAAAAGTGCATTTAATACCGCAACATCTTTATAGCTCAATAACACTACAGTTATTATTTCTCACCCCCAAATCACCTTAAACGTTCTAAAAACGCTCTTAATATTTTAAGTATTTTATTTTTATATACATTTTCTCTTCCAGTGCTGTTGGTAACCTTTCTAGTAGTCTGCCTGCCACTGTTGCAGACAGGTGCAGCCTGTCTGTTCTGTAGTCAAGCAAGCAAGCTAAGCAGACGAAATGTAAACACATCACTATCACTATCACATCGGCAGTATGCAAATTGGAGATAAGTTTGGTGGTGATAGATAATTTCAGTAAAATCAATGTTGTTAATTTATAACTATTGTAAATAATACGATCCAACTAATCGTCTAAGTCTCACCACTATGCGCTTGTCTCAAGAGTTACCATAGTCAAAATGAGTATTATATTATTGATAGGCCTACACTAATAATTGTCAATAATTCACTTTCGTCAATGGATAAGATTTGTTATGATACAAATTATGTCTCAAATGCAGAGTAAGTAAGTTCGTAGCTCAGTTATTTTTTGTGTTCTTGTTTTTACCTATCCTATCTTTAGGTAGGTATCCTAAGTGTTGTAGAAGCAGAAGGTAAGTTAGGGTGTAAAAGCGTAAAGCAGAATATAGATTTTATGAAGTTTTTTCCTTCCATTATCATGTATAGGCCAATACATTGGACTCCCTCTTATCCGGATACCTTTTAACTTTTAACATCGATTTAACCGGACTAAACTTAATCCTAGGCCTACACTCTGCCGAAGTGACATCTTTTTAACTGGACAAATGTTATCAGCACATCTAACTTCCCCATTTAACCGGACGATTTCTATTTCTACAGGAAATGGGTGGGGTGGTACTGAAACAAACTTTTCTTATGGGAAAGATTTCAAAGAAGTGATTTAAATACAATGCTCCTCACAAATTTAAGTAAAATATTTGGGATGTTTTTTGAGTGATTGATAAAGTATGTACCTAGGCCTATATTATTATTTTAACGAGTATTAGGGGACTTCGGTTTAAGTTAGGGCTGTCGAAACTTTTTTTTTTAGTTTTTTCTACGCCAGTGTCATTTTTTACTAGAAGTCAACGTTGTTGTACTAGGGTCAAACGTTTTAAGGGAAATCGGTCCAACCCCAAATTAAAGCTTTGTGGATATGCCGGAAAATTGAACCTGCCCCTCCCATACCGAAGTCCATAGCGCTAACCACTAGGCTAAACTTAGCAACACAACCAAATGTAAGGCCTATCCGGACTGGCCTTGTCCCAATGGAGTCCGGATAATAGTAAGTCTACTGTAGTTATAAGTACCGTAGGCCCACTGAAAATTATTGGAAGAGCCTACTTAGAAAGAGTTCAGAAAAGGTTAAGTTTGCGTACACCAATGACTTTGATTTGATCTTGTGTTGTAGCATCTAAAATTTAAGTTACCGTAAGTTTAGTTCTGTGTAACCTTGTAATTTACCTACAATAAGTTAATATGTTTAAATTTGTTTTAGGAATTACATTGAAAGCGAAATTCCGGATCAAAATGTAGGCCTAACAGAAGATAATACCTTTCCGGTAAGTTAACAAATGGTTTGACTTCAATAACTTAATTGAATGGCTTTTTATTCAATTTTCTTCATTTTATGGGCAAGATTAGACCACTTTAAGTCAAGTTCTTCTTTTGTCTTGTCTCTGTTTTATGTCCCAGTATCTACTATCAGTTATCAATAATTATTGAGATGAGTACGACATCTACGTGCATATTTTAACCCAAATGAATGAAGGATGAGTGTTAGAATGGTGTGAGAAGATCTATGTAGCTTTCTTACTGACTAAGATAAGCTGTTTCATTAGGTAGGATCATTTATTGTAAGCCCACTTATCAGTGACGGCTGGGTCCAGTTTTTGAACCATCAAAAACCTACTGACTTTTCTCAAGATTGAGCCGGCAACCTTTTGATTGTTAAGTTAGGCGAGCACTACAACCACTCGGCTATCCAGCTAGTTTAGGCTACTTTTTCATATGGTCGGTTGAATGGCTTTTTATAAGGAATTCTAAACTTAAAAACGACACAAAAATCCAAATTCACACCTTAAAAATGTAACTAAGATGGTCTGCAGATTTGAAAATGGTGTTAAGGAGTGAAAGATCAAAATGATTGATACAGTCCTAAGAAAAGTTGGTAGCTTATTGATTGTTGTGGTTCAAAACTATCTTCGTGTTTTTTTTTTTTTATGATTGATGGTTCATGGCTATTTTACAAAAGCTAAGATAATTATATCAGGGTTGTTTTCTTGATTCCAACAAACAAAATTAGTAGTAGGCCTAGTCAAGGACTTTAAACTGTATCAACTTAAGTGGTCAGAGAAAAAAATATGTTTGATTAGGCCTACCTTACATTTTGATTTCATCAAAACGTTAAATTCATATTTTATTTTTCCTTAGAAGAACTTTTTTTACATATACCCATTTGTCTTTTAGGATTGCACAAGCAACTGCAGTTCTTCTTCTAAAGAGGTCCTTTCAATCAAAACAGAACCCATTGATGATTATGAAGAATGTGCCGAAGAAGACAGTGATTTTCCTCTTGACGTTCAGGTAAATGCTAATTTCAAACCTGATGATCAAGGACAGCTGGGTTCAGGCTCAAACCATTAAAGAGCCATGGCTTTTCCCAGGATCTAATTAACAACCATATGATTATCAGGCAAGCACTAAGCTCCTAGATACGATGCTGAGTATTAGTAGTTTAAGACAGGTGCCGGGATTTTAACCTATTCAATGTGGTTAGTACCTATTTATGCCAATATTTTTATCTATCCGAAAGTGATGTACACCGGAATGCCGTTCCACCTCAAATCGAGCACTGGTTGTAGTACAAACTAGCTGTGTACCCGTTCTACGCACGGGGATCTTATAATATTCAGTTGAAACCTTCTTATATAACGAACAGCAGTTGGTTTGCATATTTTAAGATATGCTGGCCAAACTATTATACATAGCTTCATTTTATGTTGTTTTTTGTTGTTCCGGATCGGTATGACAATCAATAAAAGGTTAAATTACCTCTGTGTCTGCCGGTCGATCCTATAACGGTAGGCTTACTTTTATTTTTACTATCTGATCTCGTTTGCATGGCTCAATCACGTCCTGGTTGAAGTTCGTTCGCTACGCTCACTCACCTGTATGTTGGAGCTCGTTCGCTGCGCTCACTTTCCTTCAGGTTAGCTCGTTCGCTACGCTCACTTGCCTTCAGGTTAGCTCGTTCGCTACGCTCACTCGCCTCCAGGTTGCAAATTAGCTGTTGTCATAAATGTAAAAGAAATAATAGTGCTAGTGCTGCACCCTGTTGGTAATCCTTGTAACTTTAATGCTATTGAACATCACAGAACAGAACCAACTTGTTTAATTGAAACAGCTGTTAAGATTCAATAATTTCATTTCTCATAAGGTTAACATGGGCTTCCAGAAATTCCACGTCAAAAATCGACAAAAACTTGATTTTCAAGGGTTTACTGTTAAATATCTAACTGTCTCATATTCGATGAAATACGTCTAAAACCATCTCATATATGTATAGTATTTGGAAAATAAGTTTCAGGCGGGACAGTGCTATAGTTATTGAGGAGTAGTTGTAATAAAGTGCGTATTTTAGCGTTACCAAGAGAATGACAGATAGACAGACAGACAGACAGACAGACAGACAGACAGAAATTGAGATAAGGTTTGATTCGGTTTCTCTGACCTATGAAATGTAAAAATAACCAAAAAGTTCATTATTCTAAGCAATGTACAGACAAAACTCTAATTTTATTTATATAGATTATTTCTTAGATTGACATCAAATGAAATAGTTTAATTATAGGCCTAGGTTGATTCTGATATATATAATCAAATTTTATTAAATGGTATTCTTTGTAAAATGCTGTTTTTGTGCGGAATGTTAAACGTAATGGGAATTTTTATTTACCATTGTGGGGAATGTGATACTCGAAAGGTAAGTAGCCCATTGTTGATTTGATAAACTAAATCTATAACACTTACATAGAGTGTAGTTTTAGTAGTTTTTAAAACAATTAGCTAAGTTGGTTTCTTTGTGTTGATTCAGTTAGTTACCATGTGTATTTTGTTACCAGATATCTGAACCAGAAGAAAACAGTGGTGAGAATGAAAAAAGTGACATAGAATGTGAAGAATTGTCAGAACTACCGGTTAAAACTGAACTTATTGAATGTAAAGAAGAATGCCAAGCTCTTGATGACGAGAACAACACTAATCCATTCATTAAGGTAAGTTGAAACCGGTTCAAATCAAATCAAAAGATCTTTATTCACATCATGTAGCCTAAATTCATGTTTATTGAATAGTGTTAAACAAGTTAACTTACAAGAATATTTAGAATGTATAAGAACAGTACACTATTTAGTCAACTATCACTATGATTGGTACCTAGTCATACCATTACCTTATCATGAGTTTTGCTAATAAGATAGTATTAGGTACTCCTACTACTTTAGGTCATGCTATTTTCTAAATTTTAAGATCTACTATTATTTGTTTAAAGTTAAAAAGAGTCTTCAAATTAATGAATTGCCTTCTGTATCATGGTTGTTTTGCCATCTCGTAATTTCTCTAGTTTTTCAACATATTTATGGATATTAGGCTAATTAATAAGAATGTTTTTTTTTTGTTTCCGTTTTCTACGTATTTTTTCAATAATGGTATGTAGGACTAATAAAATTTGTAATGTTCAGTTTTTTAATCAAATTTAAAATGTTTAACAAACTAGAGTAGGGTTGTGCAAAAAATGGTCTGATAATATTTCAACATATGTTTTATTAAACTGCATTGATAAACTCTTACAAAAACATCAATTGATTGAGTCAGAGCGGACCTTGTCCTGATGCTCTTCAGCCGCATATCGGCTGAAAACAAACATTTGTATGCAGGGAAATTTGATAGGTACTAGTTAAAATGCTGGCTGATCATTACTAAATAATTAAATTAAATTAAATTATTTAATAACCACAATGTGTAATTTTATAAGTGTGTTTGAAATTTTAGGCGGAACCTCTTGAAGAGGGGTATGAAGATCGCGTAAATGATTTCATTCAAATTGTTACCAAAGAAAAACTTCCAGTTCAAATGTTTTCCAGTGATGATACAGTCACAAATTGTTCTGAAGAAAATGAAGCTGAAAGTGGTCATTTTCTGTCTCAGGTATGTTGTACTACTCATCATTAAGTTAAAAGTTGTATTATAATAATATTTTTTGATCAACCACAAATGTATGAAAGACTGTTAAATAGTCCCTCCCGTTCCTTAACACATGTGCTAGCGATCATCACATATTTGCGACGCTGAGGTCATTGGCACGGCCCAAAGTATAGCCTACTTTTTAACAGTACACACGGAACGCAGGCCAGTGATGCAGCAAAGTAAAAATCAGTTTTGCCAACTATCATATGTATGTCACTAATCATATCCACAGACCAAATGACACACATATGCAACAGACATCCCTGTGGACCAATGCAGAGAATTCTGGGCCTTCAAATAGACCGTTAAGTTACGAAGATATAAGCTTTTTAATAACATTGGAAACCGATGCAAATATGCGACGTCACATCAGTCTATTTTAATGTGACCCATGGGCAGTCTATGGGCAGAAACTGGCCGTCGTATACGTGCTTCGCTGGTCCATATGAATGAAAAATTAAGTACTATTGCCGTAGCGAACGAGTTAAAATATTAGACTAAATAGAAACAGAGAGATACTATCCCTAGAGATTTATTAAGTCAAATTTAAAGCAAACATTTTTTTAAAGCAGAAAAAACAGCCGTTTTAATTCATGGGTTGCAGGTCCAAAGCAGCATTTTTACTCCCTAGGATGTAAAAATCATCTGTTGTAAACAGTTGTAAATTTTGATTTTGGCAATCGTATTGATAAAATTATTTAACGATTGAATTATTAGGTTATGTGTTAGCCTATTGTTGTCGATCGCTCAAGATATAGATGGTATAATGTACTGTAACACAATAGTAATAGACAAAATCAAATCATTGAATCATTTTCTAATTACTAAACAGCTGCTTATTTGCATTGCAGAATTGAAAACAAACTGGAAGTCATTTTGAGAGATTATGTTTACATAGTTTTGATTTAACATAGTATGTTATGTTATGGTACTTACAATTTTGATAGTTTTTTCATTTTTTATAAATTTTGATTTTTAATGGGGATTTTCCCATAAAACTCCATAAAATAATGGAAAAATCGGATTTTCCCCAAAATGGCCCGAATGATTTTGATAAAAATTTAGTATGTTATAGTCCATTAAATCCTGAACAAAATTCTACAAATCCCATCTCCGTATATTTACTCTAAAGGTTGTTGACAGACTTATGGGAGAAAGTATGTGTCAGAATGCTGATACCGTTTATTTATTAATGATGCGATATGACAAAAATTATAGTTCACCACACAGGCAAAAAGTGTGTTTTTAACCCTCGCTCATTTAACAACCACGGCATTCATTGAAAAGAGTCACTTTGGGCCCTAGTGATGAAATTTACTATTTTTTAGTTGACATGCAAATGTTTTAGGATTCATTTATTTCCATGGTTAAAAAAAAATGAAGACTATACAAATCCATTTTTAAAGAACCTTTCATGTAGATAGTAATGTCTATGTCAATATTATATTTCCTATTTTCATAGATTTTTGGTTAGCCACTCCCAGGATAACCTTTTCAATGTTTCAAGTAAATCATGTGGATTAAGAGGGTTCCATCCGCCGCTGTTTACCGCGTAAACATGGTCCTACAAAAAGAACCTCGTGGCATAATGAAAGTGTTTATCGAGATGAAATAAACTGTAAAAAGATCCAAACTATGCACTGGATGAACTGAAACCTCGTAATTGTTTCTTAAAGTGTTTGCAAAATCATTTTGAAAATCCGTAAATTAATCTTTTTTACATGTGATTTTAACTTCTAAATAATAGTTAAAAACTAATTTTTCCCCATCCATATACAAGCTCTGATATGTTAAGAGCACCAAAAACACACAATCGTTGGAAACAAATTAGTTTTAGAATGTTGAGAGCTTGTACAATAGAGGCATGTTTATTTCTTAACTATATTTCAATCCATATAATCCGCCATCTTGAATCAAAATTCAGGCTGTCTGGTAGAACCCTCCTAAACTGATAACATACAAATTAATAAGAATTTAAACTCATTCTATGAATTTATTTTTTAGTTTAACAGATTTGGCAAAATAAATTGCAACAGTTTGTTTGAGATTTGTGTCTATAACAGGTTGAACAACGTAAAGATATGATACTGTTGTTAAGAAATCTCAATCTTTCTGTAATATGTTTGTTTTTGTTTGTAAAAATCTTTACCTACGACCGTTTTTTAAAGTAGCCGTTTCAGTACAGTTCTTAGAATTGAAAAGTATCTCATAACAGCATTGTTTACTTTCATAACAGCATAGTTTTACTCATAACAACACGGGTAACGGACCAATGAGGTTCAAGGATTGAGAGAGGAGAAGCAAAATTGTAATGATTCGAAATTCAACTAATCAGCTGTTCCGGTCAATTTAATTGTTGATTGGTGCAATTAGTGAATTAGTGTTTGATTCCTTGCTTCACTGTCAGTGGCAATGAGAGGTTATAAACAAAAACATAACCTCTCTTAGAAGTTATGAGTAGTGATTTTTATTAATTAAAACACCGTCGTAGGTAAAGTAGTGTACGAAGGCACTCGCCAAGGCTCGTACCTTAAATTTTCTACTCGTGTCGTTAACACTATCTTTACGCAATCGTTGTGTAAACTAGTATAATACCTTCCTTACGCCTATCATAGGTCTATATAGGCTACAGTGAATTTACATTTCAAGATATTTTGGACTTATTAAAGAACTTTATACTATTCTTTGAATCTCAAGTTTTTTTAATTCAACCAAATTTAATTTAAATTTAATTGTTTCACAAACAGATTAAGCCAAAGCGACTCCGCGGTGGGATGCTGCAATGTGCCAAGTGTTTGGCCAAGTTCAAGTACAAAAGTACGTACGATTACCACGTCAAGTCCGCCTGTGGTACTAAGATGATCGCCCGTGACCATCTGGTGAAAAAGTCTGGGAAGAAGAACCAGTTTGATTGCAACGTTTGTCATAAGAGACTGTCAAGTAGGACTAGCCTCATGGTTCACATGCGTATACACACAGGTTGGTACGATTGTGATATTTGCAAACCTTCTTTTATCTACTAGAGTTAAACAGTAAAAATACACAGGCAGGTTGAACCTACTCAGGTAGGATTTTATTTAACCCATTCTGGTCAGAAAGATTATTAAAAGTAAAATTATATTGAATTTTAGCCTCCTGATTGCATTTAAAATTTAAATACTATAAATTGGTGTAAAATACCTGCATTTATGCAATCTTTTTTGTAGCTGAGTTGCTACCGGTTTCAACTCACATTGGAGTCATCTTCAGGCAGTTATGTCTTCTCGCTTCATTTGAAGGTTGAGAAGACATCTTAACTGCCTGAAGATGACTCCAATGTGAGTTGAAACTGGTAGCAACTCAGCTACAAACAAGACGCATAAATGCAGGTATTTTACACAAATTTTTAGTAAAAGGAAAAGTTCATTGCCTATTGCACAGTAGGTAAGATAAATTTCACTTTGGTAGTCCATGCTCACGAATTGCCAGTGATATTGCGTGACATATAAACATTTGAATACATAAAATCCACAATTGGCGAGCAGTCCCATTAAAAAAAAAATTTTTTGTGCCTGCTGAATGGTGATTTTTAGTAGCAACTGTGAAACTAAATAAGATAATGAATTCATAATGGATAATATATATGTTTGTTTACTAAATAACTTATTGATCAGTATTGTACGTGTTATTAAATTTACAGAAAGTAAAAAAAAATAAAATTTGTGTTGCCTTAAACATTTTAAACATATTTTACACTCATACTGTTAAGGCTAAACATCCCTGAAAAAGTTGTGTTTCTGGCCCGATAGATAGCAGCACCTCTGCGGCAAATTTGTACCACTTATAATTTCCGTATTTATTATTAGATTTTTGTTTTGTAAACGGTTTTGTAAATGATATGATTAAGACATTCACGCTATTTTGCTAATGTTTTTTAAAATTTATTAACAAAAAAGTTTTATAAAGAATTTTTTTGCTGTAATTATTTTTTTAAATCGCAGGTAGTCATTTTGTAAAGAGAAATTTTAAAAGAATTTTGCCGTTTTCAGATATTAATTCGGCCAAATAGTTGTATCGGAATCCTTTTTTAAAGAAATTATCATTATTTCTCTCGCGCTCCGGTCCCCTCCCCCTCCCCCCCCGCATAGCGCAGCTCCAGTGCCAGCCGCTCTGCCCGGCCCTGCAACGCGACTGTAGCTTCGTCTTCTCACAAACACCTCGCAGTCATACTCTGACCGGACGTCCCGGACACACTTACTAGACTGGACTCCTGATTTTAACAGATACCAGTTTATGATTTAAAAACAAGTATTTTCTGTAAGTCGGAAAGAGACATCCATTCAAATAAAATTGAAGTTTTATCTGTACATTGCTTAGAATCATGGAGTTTTTGGTTCAATGTTTTGTGGACTGTGCATTTATTTACTTACTAGCTGTTTGCCCGTTCTACGTAGGGCCTACGGGAATCTTGTAGCAAGTTGAAACCTTATATTCTGAACAGGAGTTGGTTTGCATATTTAGTGTGCATTTTGCATTAAAAGAAGGCCTGCAATTGAAAGTTACTTTTCACACAGGTTAAAAGTAGTTAAAATACTACCTCAACCTCACTATTGCACACTTTATTCGGGTTGAAATTTTCATTAACAAAGGTGCTCTTGTCTTTTCCACGAAACAATGAGAAATAAGGACATTAATGCGTTACCAACAGACATACAAACAAAAATACAGAATTGAATTAGGGGATTTGCTACGCTTTAACCAAAGCAAATTACAAACAAAGTAATTATTTGAAAGTTTTGATAGTGTCATCAGATTTTATCATAATCGTTTTTAGGCCTAATCAAACTGTAAAATTGGTGTAAATCCGTTGGCAAATATATAAGTATTTGCGGCTGGAACTGCAGTCGTTGGATGACAGCCGTTGAACGATAATCGTATAGAGATAGCTTAGCATTGTTTTCAATGGCACCGTTGTCACTGACGCGACTGTAGCCGCAGTCGTACCGTAGTCGTGAACGTCCATCGTACGGGTCTGCTCCTGGAGCAGTCAGTGTCGCAGTCGGTGGACGATTTTTTAGGCATTCACAGCTTTTTCTCGAGTAAGAGCCTCGAGTGTACTCAGCCCCAATCTTATTCTTGTGGAGAATAATTAAAATGTTATACAGGGTGTTCATTTGAAAACTTTCCATATCTGTTGTGTGCAAAGGTAAGGCTTTTAACACTTGTTTGTTCTCAATTCCCCCTAATTTGGACATGCCAAATCCAATAAAATTTTTTTCAATTTTGAAAAATGCCCCAAAAGGGCCCAATTTGGGGGGTAGGGGTGCTTTTTGAGAAATTTTCAAATGTAAACATGGGTTGTGTGATACATCAATTTAAAGGTCTAATCACCCCGATCATTTTGGTGCAAAAAAAGATTAATTATCTTTAACTGTATTTACAGGGTGGGTCAAAACGTTTTAAAAAAGGACTTTGAAGTTAAGTACCGTATTACCCTAAATACTGAACGGAACAGCGCCAAATTTCTTTCCAAGCTTATTCTTGAGCTACTCTTTAAGATAACTTGTAGTAAAGGCATTTTCCATGTTATTTTCTAATCAAAAAAAAAATCTCAAATTTTAAGAATAAAAGAAAGCTGAAAACTCAAAATTCTTAAATAGCAAGGTATGACAAATTTCATACCACGTTAAAGGTCCTTTTTTAACAAACATTTTACGTATTTAAGTTTTCTTTCTATCTCTTGCCGTTTAAAAATTGCAGTAGAGAAACATAATTTTCTATGGTAAAATTGTAACTAGTTTTCTAATAATAAAACAGCCAAAATTCGTCTCTAGACACATTAAATGGTGCAATAACTGAAGGAAACAATTCATAATTATTTTTAGGCAGATAGGCAAACAAGTCATTACGTTTTACTTTGTGAAAAACAAGTTTTATAGCTGATGAGAAAAACCCAAGCGTGGGCCGCTTTCTGTTGTACCATTGACTAGTCAATGGTAGTACTAATTTCAAAAGTACCATTTTCTGTAGTACCTAATCAAATATGGTGTAAACTTAAAAAAATAGACTTTATTTTTACTTATTGGTCATAACAAAAGTGTTCCAGGATAACTACAAAGTGTTTAACAATAGATATATGGCTGTAAATGATTTAGTTAGGAAGTTTTCTGAAACTGGCTCAGTTACCAATGAGAAAAGAACAGGATGAAGAGTCCAAGATGAATTCTGACACACGTTAAAGTAGTCGATCAATTTGTTATGAATCCTACTACATCGTTGTACAAAGTGCAATGTGTTTTATTAGAAAACTAGTTATAATTTTACCATAGAAAATTATGTTTTTCCACTGCAATTTTTAAACGGTAAGAGATAGAAAGAAAACTTAAATACGTAAAATGTTTGTTAAAAAAGGACCTTTCACGTGGTATGAAATTTGTCATACCTTGCTATTTAAGAATTTTGAGTTTTCAGCTTTCTTTTATTCTTAAAATTTGAGATTTTTTTTGATTAGAAAATAACATGGAAAATGCCCTTACTACAAGTTATCTTAAAGAGTAGCTCAAGAATAAGCTTGGAAAGAAATTTGGCGCTGTTCCGTTCAGTATTTAGGGTAATACGGTACTTAACTTCAAAGTCCTTTTTTAAAACGTTTTGACCCACCCTGTAAATACGGATAAAGATAATTAAACTTTTTTTGCACCAAAATGATCGGGGTGATTAGACCTTTAAATTGATGTATCACACAACCCATGTTTACATTTGAAAATTTCTCAAAAAGCACCCCTACCCCCCAAATTGGGCCCTTTTGGGGCATTTTTCAAAATTGAAAATAATTTTATTGGATTTGGCATGTCCAAATTAGGGGGAAATGAGAACGAACAAGTGTTAAAAGCCTTACCTTTGCACACAACAGATATGGAAAGTTTTCAAATGAACACCCGTATATAGCTTAATTGTTAATGCATTTGATGAATGATGATGATACTTGGTTAGTGGCTTTATGTGATAGTATTAAGACACACATTAATGAATGGAAAGTCCACGAGTACACAGGTTTGCTGCAACAGGGCTATTACTATTTTTTATAATGAACATGTCTTATTCTGAAAAAGGAAAACATAATACCAAAGCATTGTATTAGTTTATTAGCTTAGTAAAAAAATCTAACGTTTATAAATAAACTATCCTACCTTAACGTAAGAGCAAACTTCTCATCTCCTGTGATTGGATAGGGAATGTAGTTTTAAAGTAAAAATGCTCATTGATCAAACTATACAAAAACTTAAACTGAGATTTTGAAAGTCTGAAGAACTCAGATAACATTCTCCCATCAGCTTGGAAATTATTGTTTATTAATATTTTGAAGTACCCCTCTTCTGTTCGTTTTGTAATTATACTATGTGTGAATTTGTGCTAAGTCTTTGAACACTTATCACTTCCAAAGATTTTCCATCTTCTAGATCTTCAACCAGCAAATAAATGAATAGTATTTTGTTACAGCCTATAAACTAATACAGTAATTCACTATCCCTACTTCAACTCGGCAACCGTCAAGAATTTTAACTGAACGATTGTATAATAATCGCACCAATGACAATGCCTACTGCAACGATTATCGCCGAGCGATAATCGTGCGACGACGATCGTCCAACGACTGCAGTTCCAGCTACACCAGTGATAGTACGGCACCACCAAGGCCGCACAACGTTATTAATCTAACTTGGTTTGGATGTGCTAACAAAACTTGATCGGAAATGGTTGCGGTATTTGTAAACAACTTTTAATTTAAACATATCAGTGACAGCTAGAGGTGAGAACTAATCCAAACAGCTGATCGTTATTTATTTCATAAAATGTAATAGTTAACATTGGGAGAAAATTGACAAAATTCGAACCAAATTGGGTTTTTGATGGTTCGTTATTTTGTTTTCAAAGGAGCGAGGCCATGTTTTTATAGCCAAAGACACTCTCATCAATCCAGTAAATACGGAAAAATTATTAGAACCTTGATCGGAACTTTAGTTTTCTAGGAGTAGGCCGCGCAAAATGACATTTTGGCACAGATTAGACAAACAGACAGACAGAAATTGAGATAAGACTCGTTTCGGCTTTCTTAGGCTATGAAACGTAAAAATAACCAAAACCTGCATGATTCTAAGCAATGTACAGACAAAACTGTAATTTTATTTATATAGATTTATATATTTGCCAACGGATTTACACCAATTTTACAGTATGATTAGGCCTAAATACGATTATCGTAAAATTAAAAATTTATGACACTATCAAAACTTTTAAATAGTTATTTTGTTTGCAATTTGTTTTGGTTAAAGCGTAGCAAAACCCCTAATTCAATTCTGTATTTGTTCGTGTATGGAAGTGCGGGAAACCGTCATCCACCGGTGTACAAGCAACACCCCAGCCTTGTTTTGGGGGGAGGGGTAGCAAATGTGAGTGTGACCTTGGAATGAGTCACAGCGGCCCTGTCCTGCACCTGCTTCATGTCTCTCTCGCGTTTGTTATAATTACTGTAAATGTTTAAACAACGATACCGACTGAACAAGCCAAGCGATTTTAAAAATTTAAAAAGTAAAATTAATTAAAAATTATTGTCTTTAAAATGACTACCTGCAATTTTCATTTTTTATTTTGTAACACAATTATTTTACCATAATTTTTTTAACCAACAACTTAATTCAAATTTATTGTCAATGGCGTGAATTGTTATTTTATCCCGTTCACAAATCAGTTTTCAAAATGAAAATCGGATGAAAATTCCACCAATAAACACCAACACAAAATGACTCCATTTTGGTGATGCGACGTGGTGGCAGAATTTGGAACTAAACCTGGGATGTTTAGCCTTAACCTAATATGGTAAATACATATGAAAGAGGGCAAGCCATGATCAATTTTGGATTTGCCTACTGTATTTTGGATTTGGAGGTTTTGGGGATTTGAACCCAGGAACTCCAACACCAAAGTTCTGACATCTATCACCAACCCAGCTTGATCCCTTGAACGAATAATATTGGAGAGCCTATGTATAGAGTAAAGACCTTGTGATAACAAAACACACACAGAAGGTAACTTACCAACTTATCGGTTGTATTGAAATCGGCGACTCATCGGTTTTCTGTGAAGTAAACGGCAACCCTATAGTCTGCCCATGAGATGATAGTCCTCCTCACTTTAAGCATCTTTGTGTTTGCTGTAACAGCATTCATTTAACTTGTATAGGCCCCTAATATATCTTAGTTTTGATAGTTTGTGATTGTGAATAATCTGCAGCCCGTACATACTATGCTAATGAAGAATATTTATCAGAACATTAATGTTTCAGGGGAGAGACCATTTGCTTGTGACATCTGCAGTCGGTCGTTCTACCAGAAAGCGCATCTCAAAGATCACATAAATAGCCATTTGTCCGGCAAACCTATGAGTCCACTCTACTACACGTGCGCAGAGTGCGGGAACGTCTACCCTACAAAATCTCAGCTTACTTCGCACATGAACGTTCACTTTGGCGACAGGGTGTTCGGGTGTAACGTATGTCACAAACGCTTCCGCACACGGTCGAACCTGAGCAACCACAAAATGATTCATTCGGGGAGAAAGCCGCACTGCTGTACAGTTTGTGGTAAAGATTTCCTACGCAAACCCAGTCTGGACGACCACATGAGGATACACACCCAGGAGAAACCCTTCGAATGTGAGATCTGCGGGAAACGGTTCGCCGAGAAGACGCGGAGAAATACACACGTCAAACGACACACTGGGGAATTGACGCAAGTTTGTCCGACGTGCGGGAAAAAGTTTGCTGGCTCTTACGATCTGAGAGTTCACCAGGTGTGGTATGTCTTGAAAATATGGGCTTTTAGGTTAAACTGATATACGGGAGTGGAATACCGTACTTGAAATTGTCCACTGTTTGAATTGGAATTGTAACCACTGTGTGTTGAAGTATTGTACAACATTGCATTAACTTTCATTAGACAATATAATCCAATCAATTGTGGAGAGAATGTCTAATCTCTAAAAGATCAGCCTTTGATCAGCCATCCCAATATATGTAAAAGATGGAACATCAGCTATCCGGCAACACTGGTCAACATTAAGCCCAATCCAATCCAAGATTAAGTACCTAGTAGTGTTGATTTTTTATTTTTTGCTTGTTTAATTTTTCCCCCAAATCATAACAAAAACTTGCAGTGAAGAGATTAAATACAATGTTTCCATAAGCGATGCTCTGGTTTGGCTATTATTTAAAGTTGTTTTACATAAATGTTTTATTAGATTGAAAGTGTTTTTATTATTACAGATCCTGTTTGATATTGGGTTATTTCAGGTTGGGTTGGGTTAGGTTAGGCTGGAACCAAGACGACCTACATTTTGAATTGTGTATTGGAAAGTGCAAGTTATACAGTGGTAAAAAACTAACCCAAAATATCCAAATTTTCATTTTACTGTAGATCATTGACATTTAATCATGTAATGTCTAATTTGCTTGACTTGATGTGACTGTTTTGACAGAGAATGCACACTGGGGAGAAGCCATTTTCCTGTAACATCTGTGGCCGAATGTTCAACCGCAAGTCCATCATGGAGACTCACATGACAATACACACGGGACGGAAGGACTTTGTGTGTACGGAGTGTGGAGAAGCGTTCAACCGAAAGTCCAAGCTGGACATTCACCTGACGACTCACACGGGCGAGAAGTTCTTCTGTGAGGTCAGTTGTCAGTTTGAGTTCTGTGATTCTCAAATGCCTAATTTGTACTTCAAGGTGAATAGTTTTTGGTTTGGTAGGAGTTGTAGAGAACTTAGTTATGGGTGTAAACCGAATGAACGAATTATTTTGTGTTTAAAAACGTAAACGTTTCAAATGAGATTCGATTTGGTTGAAAGCGTTAGGCGTAATTAATATGTTTGCCTAATACATTGTTGAAAATAATGTAAATTTAAATTCCAATAAAATTTGAGTTAAACCACCAACACTAAAAGGACAACTTATTGCAAACTATGACATCAGTTGTCTTATTCACTGCCATGGTATCAGAAACTAAGAGAGGAAATAGAATGATGACTGTAACCTTAAAAATTATCTATAAAAAATCCATGGATGGGATGTCTACTTCAGTATCCTAATTCTATGACTATCAGTGGAACTAAACATTTCATTCCCATGTTAGAGTTGTCTCCAGTTTGAAATAAAAATTGATTGTGATGATGTATATTAATGATTTCTGTTGAATTTGTAGACTTTTAAAGAAGTCAAACTGATAAAACGACTTATTGTAAGTTATAGCATCTTTCATGTTACGTCATCTATCTCAGTAACAAAAAATAGGGTTGAAAATATAATTTTAAACACTAGCGCAATCGATGACCTGGCTCATTCAACTATGATCTTTTTTTTAAGAACAATTGGAGACAACTAATCCTTATAGGTACTTCTGTATCCAAAAGTAATAAATTTCCAATAAGGTGTGTAATGATTCAACAAATTTGGATGAAGCATTTCAAGGCTTTAGCCCTTTGGTAAATATAGGTAGCCTCCAAAATATATTGCCTAAGGTCAATTCTAACACATCTCTGGATGCTTCAGATTTGCCACAGAGTGTTCAAGTGTAAAGCGTATCTCGTCCCACACATTCGGACACACTTCGGCATCAGCCGTATGAGAGGGAAGACCTGCAAATGTCTTCTGTGTCGACAGGAGTTCCCGAACCACCAGCTGTTGCAAGATCATCTGGCCAAGACACACCCCACATTGTTCCAACCCCCCTCCCCTGCCTCAGCCCCTCCTCCAATCACGTTTGTCAAGGTAGAGTCCGATCAGTAATGTTTTTTACGCTAAAGGTGTGTTAGGTATTGAGTATCTGAATGTGCTTTTACACTGGGCAATGAGTGAAGGGACTATCGTTAACTTAAGTTTGTGTATTATCAATCAAAAATAACCTTAGATTATTTAAGAATCAACCCACAACCTAATCAAATAAATATAATCAAGTTTTAAAGCTGGCTGATAAGATGAGTTGTATGTTTACTATTTGATCAGAAATTTGCTAGTTCAGTCCTCTTTGAGTTGAGCTTTTTGATGCTTTTTAAAACTGGTATCAGCTGTTGTTATTATGTTATAGGTTAATTTTATTGTCTAAAGAAACAGCTGGTCTTATTAAAATTAAAGCTACACTAGATATGTATCTCCGTCTACACTAGTCCATGTACTAAACAACATCAGACTACACAGTGATTTTTATTATAAAAGGCGGCCTATACACTATACAGTGCAGTTTACAGGAAATTGAGCATCCATATCAGAAATCATATGTACATATCTGTTATTTGATTTTCTACAATTATTATTCATCAGTGTTTCTAAAACGTTTCCAAATGTTGTCTGACACGATTAAGAGTTATTGACAGGAGCAGGTGTCATGTGCTTATCAAAAAGTCATGTCATGTGCATTGCCAAAAGGATTTTTTTTTGTCTGAAAGGGCTTTTGCTTGGTGATCATTGATTAAAATATGACATACCTTGGCCATATGGTTTTACAGTTACTTTTGTTGTTTTGTTACGGATGAAATCCAGCTGATTTTTTTACCAAGAAATTAGGTTAGACCAAAAGTATGCAATTATGTTTTTTTTGGGAATGATTTTTCTCAAACTCTCTATCACGAATACTAGAAAAATACTGGTATGGATCATAAACATAAAAAATGACGTTTTTGGCCTGAAAATAAACAAAACCCCTATACTAATAGCATTATTAACACATGGTTTTGTTTACTTTCGGGCCAAAAACTTCATTTGTTTATGTTTATGATCTATACCGGGTCTTTTCTAGTATTCGTGCTCTTTACTAATAGTAAATATTTTCTTTTACTCCATCGCATGAAGAATATATCATTCCGGTTTTGTACTTTCATATTTCTTTACTCATATTCTCACATTTTTGTTTATAGTTGGGTAAAAACATATTTGTTACTCAATGAATTTGTATTTACTTTTTGACAATTTTCACTTTGCCCAGTCTTTCCCATGAGTGTCTTCCTTTAGAGCAAGGCCTTGTTTACTTGTGTTAGAAATGTATTGAGGTATTGATACAGTTAGAATCTCAAAAGCATCGTTTCTTCATTTCTTTAAGATATTTAGTTTTTAAGTAATGTAATAGAAACCTACTAGTCAATATTTAGTCTTGATAATTTTTGATGGAAACACTAATGGTTCTTCTTCTCCGTGATAATTATGTTCAGTTTGTGTAGATCTTTTAAAGGCTTGCGTTTTTCAAACTGAAAAGTTGAAAAGGAAACATTCTTATTGTTACATACATTGTTAATTGCTAGTTTGTATTGATCACTATTCATAGTCATACATATGTGCCGTACCAAGTGCAATATAGTTTTGGTTTCATTATGTTCCTATAGCTCGGGTATTGAGTACTTTATAAAATAGTCAGTATATTTTCATGTTTATATATTTCAATTTAAGTTGAAGATAAAGTACTATTTCAGTTACCGGTACCACAGTAAGACTTATTTTAATGTCATGTAGCTAGTGTTGTGCATTTTTTTTTTTTGTCAACACTAAAGAGTTAGTTAATGGTTGGTTTTCAAGTTTACTTGTATTGTGATTTTTGTTTGTTTTCTAGTCGATATGTTAGTCATTTTTCTAGGCCTATATATTTATACAATACAATTGTATAGTTTTTGTTCCTATTATGCTTATTGTTGACGTTTGTGTATTGCTATATGGGAGAAGTAGTGTTTATTGTGTTCCGTGTTTACCAATTACTTAACTTAGTTCTCTTAAGTTATTGAATAAAACTTTTGTTATAGCAAGTGATGTGCACTTTGATACCTCGTAGTAGTATAAGTTGATTTTGGATATAACCTATTTAGTTTGACACCTAATGTTTGCCATAAGACGGTTCATAAAGCTATTGAGATGGATTGCGTTTGATTTCAAATAATATTCTGAATTCCAAAATATCACTTTATATTGTCCAATGCACATGGTTTGAAAAAAAATCATTTCTAGTCCTCCTTGAAAAAATGCTTGCTTACCCAATCCAACCCCTTAAATGTGAAGCATGTGTCTGAATTTTTACTAACTTTGAAACCTGAATAGAACGTGAATTCGGATGACTGGGAAAGTGTCTGTGAACTGTACATGAATTATGTGTGGGATTGAGAATTATAAGATTTTGGGGGGAAACGGAGCGAGTGCTGTTTAATTCTTTGCCATGGGTGTTATAAACTGCCAAAACTGTCAGATAGGCCCGAGTGTCGTTTGACTCCCCAGAGCGTAAGAGTGATTCAGGGGAGGGGTGTAAGTGGAAGGGGGTCTAGTGGGTAGGATGTAACGGAGACTGGGCTACCCTAATATCGATTGAAAATTAATATCAACTCGATTAGTAAACCTTCATCCATTTTTTTATAGTTTGGTTAGTTTAGGTTATAACAGTTTCATTTCATCCCTAAAACAAATTTTGCTCATCCCCACCTGGTCGATGTTTCCACCCGCATCCCCGCCACACTGAGGAACTTGATACCGTGGTCACTCGCTCCGCCAAGCCTCAGGCTGTAAAATGTTTACCTCGTTTAAGTGTTTAGGCAAACGGCACTCGGCCCTGCACTCGATTTTAGGTAGTTGACAATAAAAGGTGGCAAGTCAAGTAATACAAATCCCAATTAAACTTCAAAAACCCCATTTGAAGAACCATTGGTCGTGTCTATAGAGCCTAGTCTATTTCCAAGTCAAAATTCAATCCTTTAGCTGATTTTGTAGACTCCATCTGATATGTTGATGCTCGTAAAACCATTAATGTGTTTCACTTTCGGAATGTCATCTCCAGTAACATGATTGGTCTGGGATCTGTTCAAACTTGAATTTCCAGGACTTGCACCTTCCCGTATCTTCGTAAAATTGGCCTAGCAAAACTCACTCCTTACCACTTTAAACCCAATTAAACTAAAAACAAAAATTTTTTATACAATTGCTATAAAAAGATACAGCCATTTGTAAAGAATGTGTTTTTCCACTGTAAACCCAATAAATCTGCAACTATAAACTTGTTTAATTGTTTTGGGAAAATTTATTTAATACACAATTCCGAAATTTCTATACACCTTAAGCGTTTAATACAATACATACAGATATCACATAAGTAGTGGAGCATCGATTATCTAAAGTCCGGTTATCCGAAACGTCAGTTAACCCAAAGGCTGATCACCGTTGCTGCAGTGAACGCAAATGACGATTAGCGATGGGGCCAAAGCCATAAGATATGCTCAAGGGTTTTGCTGAGATTGCGAGAAACAATCACGGATGAAGCCGAGAATGCTAGATAGATATGCTCACGATTGTTGTGATTGCGATAGACGATCAGCGGTGTCACCGACAGTCAATGACCGATCATGCAAAAAATCAACAACTATACGAACACCCCAATCCCAAATTGTTTTGGATAATTGACTCTACTGTATCCTCTTTCACTCCTGAGTTTGGGAATCCACTAGGACTCTTGTCTTTTTTTCCCACAGTTCAGTTCCTCTGCCATCCCAAATCCTCTCTTCTTCATGTTCCTCTTCATTTCATCTTTCATCTACTTACTTGCTTAACCAAGCTCTTAGTGCCCTTTCATAATTTAACTCTTCTTGCATGCCAAACCATCATACTTTTGCTTTCCTCTCTCCTGTTATCTCATTCCAATTCTTCTCCACCAGATATTTACGAATTGGTGTAAATACCTGCTTCAATGTAACTAAAATGTTTCTCAATAACTCATTTATTTAAATAGTATAGATTTATTTATACATGTATTGGTTCTGTCAAAATAATATACTGTCATTGAGCTCACAATAATAAAATATGGTAATGCCACAACTGACTTTCTTCAGACGTCAAAGGTTGCCATGAGTTCATAGGACATCAATTCACATTAGTATAACACGGACATTGAAACGATAAAACGGTATATTTAAAATAAGTTTGACACCTAAAGATGATTCCTGTAAAGTCAAAACTAGCATTACCAATTTTTTGGATAACATCAAAGAAGGTATAAATTATCAACTATTTAAGATGGGGACGCCACTATATGCGTATTTTAACCCAAATATGAGTGGTACAATCTTTTAGTCTTGTTAGTGACAAAGGCCAACATGTTTCTTAAACACATCTATTACTTAATAGGCATACAGATAATGGCAACTGAGGGACCTATAGTTTTTTTTTAAAGTGGAATCCAAACCACATTTTTCCCTTGTAATTAACAAATTGGTCTAATTATTAGGATAGTACTGCGTATAGTCATAGTACTCACTAGTGCAGACATTAATCCACACCAGGGAGCATCACATCCACAGTGCATGGCTATAAATAACCACAATTCGTATTTACTTAGACCAATTCATATATTCGATATAATTGGGAGGATAACATAAAAAATTAGATGTTTTTTCTTCTTCAATCACACAATTAGCTAAACCTATAAATTAATTATCAAGCAGAAATTGAGGGGAAATCTTTTGAGTAAAGTTTGGTAAAATCTTTAAAATATTTATTCGCTTTTGAGCTAAAATGTAAAAAATTTCATATAATTTGCTATGTACATGAAATAAATAGCCTATTCTACTACAAATAACTTTAAAGTTACATTCATTTGCACAATATTATTGTGTAGTTTAACTACTAGTTTTGCTAAGTTTATCATCTGAAATTAAAATAATAGAAACGCTAATCTACCCGTGATAAATACAACCGAAGAAAAAGTCATACAAGAACACCTTAATACTTATAAACATTTGCTAAAACTATTTGTAACAAATTTCATAAGTCTTACCTTACCTTTCATACGCATTTATTACTTAAAGCTGTAACTGGGGATTGAAAAACTTGATCACACCAAGAAACTTGTCTAATAACTATTCATTATATCCAAGTTTGATTTGTAATGAATCAAATATTTAAGAGCAAGGAAAAAGTTAAAAGTACACTCAGCACCTATGCAAAACAGGCCTACTATTGTTATGCGATAGTTCACTGTTGAATATACTGAATATAGTCGTCTAAGAAAAACCTGTTACACTCAAATGTTCCGGCACAAGTTACTCTTCAGTTTATACGTTAGTTTTGATTAGGTTTATAATGTCAAAAACCCCGAGAAAACAAAACAAAAGTTTGGCCAAACCCCAACAAATATATTAATTATTTTGGTTATCAGTAACGATTAGTAGTTACTATTAGTAAACACAAGAACACAATCACATTGATGTATATAATTTCCGTCTGATGACATTGTTAGATTTTGTTTGGATTGCAGTAAAAATACCGTACAATATTTAAGTTGAAAGTTTGGTATGAAGAAAGAATAAATTATCTCACTGAAGCTATGGACTAAAGTTGTGGTCTTCAGATTATTAATAACAGAATGAACATTAATGCACGTGAACATTTTGGCCTCGATACATGGTGCTATCTTCAGGGCGAATTGACTCCATATCTGCTGGAAAGATGGAGTAAGCTAGTAATAATTCTGTTGTGAGAAGTTACCTTAAAAAAAAGGTTGGTAGCCTCTTTTACCTTGCATTAGCCTATCCATATGGACCAAAAAGGACGGTGCGTCGAACATATACAGCAAAGCAAGGGGTGAGCTGGTACAGTGCAAGGGTGAACTGTAGTGATAAAAAGTAGTGGTAAATACCAGGATCTGAACCCACGACATCACTGCCTTGGGCTTGAAATCCGTGACGCTACCGACTCGCCTAAAGACCATCAGAACTGTTTAATTCCAAATTAATTATGTTTGGGAATTTATTCCACAAATCAAAATTTAAACTAGGTATTAGGTCTAACGGCGAATTAAATAATTTACGTTGAATTTTGTAACACGTAATTATTCCTTGTGTTTACTAACAGTTATATCACAATTAGCTCTATAATTGGTTAAGTTTCAATGTTTCTTCTTCTTGATGTATTTGTCGTATTTTTGTACCCATTTCTCAGAATCTTTGACACTCTCACCGCCTGGTGGGTGAAGACGGACCTAGAAAGAATATAAAGAATATAAACTATAGGTTAAATCTATTTCCGATTAGATTAAATCTGCTGGAAGTCGTTTTATTGATGAAAACAGTAAATATGTTTTGTAATAAAAATTATGAAGTGTTCTATAAAGACCACAAACAAAAGTTACTATTTAAGGTTAAATTCATTAACTTGTGTGTGTGTTTCTAAAGTTTCAAAAGCATATACTTTATGAACTGAGATTGGAATAGAAGACTTATTTGAATGGGAAAGGGCCCATTCTGGCATAAAAACACAAGGAATTCTCTGAGACAATAAGTAATCAGAATATTTCACTGCCACTGAAAGAACTTTGAGGTCATTACTCTCTTTCCTTATATACCTTTCTTGTTTGAAAATGATGACAGTGGTAGTAAAATGCAAATATTTTGTCAAATTGTATGTATTTTTTAGTAACACGTATGTTAATTTTTGCCAGGACAAACTCTTTCCCATTCATGTAACCCTAATTTTCATCAACACTGTTTTAAAATTTATTTTATTTCGTCCATCTTAAAGAATGGTTATCATATATTTATAATTTAAATATATAGGCCTACCGTAGTTCTCTCATACATTTTACGTAGTTACATAAATTGACATAAATTTTTTTTAATTAGGTTAACCTGAGATGATCCATAATCAAGATAAAAAAATAAGTGCTTATAACTTTTGACAAAATATTGTAAAATGGAACTTGGTATAAAATTGTTTTCTGAAAATTCCCAAATGTCCAATGACCAAAACTTTTTATAGGCTAGTTATTGAGATCGGAATTTAACCCTTAACACCCACACTTATGAACAAAAGAAAGTTAAAACCACTACTTACAGATACCAAAAATATTCCAGATCGTACAATTACACACTACAAATACAGTAAAACAGTTGAATGATACTGAAGGGAATAAAGAACAAACATGCTTTCAAAGAAAAAAATCTAAATAATATTCCAAAAAGAAAAAATACTGGAAGATAGTAGATAAACAAATAGATTCATGCTACAACACTTTGCAGAGAAATAAATATATTGCAGAGATAATGAAACTGGATAGCTGAAATAGAAGTGAAAGTAGGTTCTTAGTGAAGGACATGTCCATGCTGTACGAACTACACATTTTTATGCCAATGTCTAATTGCTTTACAGTGTCTCCTCAGATTAATTAATTTTAATCCAACGAGGGGGCGAATGCAAATTGCACATTTTAACAAAGTCATGTTGTGTAAAACAGTTAGTTATAAGGCAAATAAAACTACTAATCTACATGAAATTAAATTCCTTGATTGAATATTTATACCATAAAGAGTTATTTATCTCAATAAGGTTACATTTTACAAAACAGCAGCCTATTTAAAATTCATTTTTTTAACTGTTTTATTGTTTCTTGTTTACTATCTGACTGGTTAAACATTTAACTGAAAAATCACCTGTTCACATTTAAATGCTTTTGGTCAGCATCAATGAATCTTTGAAAGTAAAGTTTATTAACAAATAAAATGCTAGGGGGGCAAGGGCCTAAATGAAATGAAATCACCGTTTTAATTACCTACAGTTTTTCACTTCACCGCTAGGTCACAAGCTTTTAACAGACAACTAAATCGTAAGAATCGGTTCAGTAAGATGTGTGGAAAGGGAATGTTACAGGGAAAACCCTAGTGTATTAAGGATAGATACTATTTTTCAATTTACCTATATAAGATCTAAACAGATATAATTGCACTATTTTTTTTTAAGATTTCTAGTATACTAAAACAGTAATTTTTTCAAACAGATGTAAAGATATATTTTATTGTCATATTTTAATTTTATTGATGAAATTCATAAGGAAAGGCATATTCCAATGATTGTTATTGAATAATATTAACTCTACTTGATTTCAAATTGCCCTCACAATATTATTTTTTAAATTCTAAGCAATATATATATTTTATATTTAAAATCTGTTCAAAGGTTGACTCAAATTGGAATTTGGAAAAATATCTTGCTATTTTTTAACAATATAATTACTCAATGACTCAAAATTGTAGATAAAGGACTAGAAATAATATAGGTAGCATATTTACAGCCAATTATGGTTAGTATCTTATCATTTTTATATTATGAAAATATAATGAAAGCAGTATTGAGTTATATTTAGTAATATTGATTAGAGGGAATTTTTTAGTGGAATTTCACTATTGATGGTCTTAACACTTTACTACATTTATCCAAAAAAGTCTTAATATAAATGAGAACATTGCTCTAATTATATGAAACTCAAAAGATTTTTTATGAAAAAAATTTTCTACTTAAATTGAACTACAAACAAAGTCTAAACACTATTGATTCCCAGTGCTGTGTTTCCACTCGACTTTTCAATAAAATCCTATATTATCAATAGACTGCTCGTGGTTTTTCCGAGATGTCCATAAACGTTCTCGTACTGGAAAATTTACGGTGACACCACTATTGATCTCTCATTTATTTTTATGTTCTTGAGTTGAAAAAATATTACTTTTCTTTAAGTTTGTCTACAATACAAAAGGAGTGTGTAAATGTAATAAAAAGGTTATTTGAAGCTTTTTGGAAGTAGAAATTAAGCAGCTTAAACTGTCTCTTTGGGAAATTCAAAACAAATTTCACTATAGCCCGTTCACAAAATTAAGGCGGTTAGGGGTTCCCCCACTACTTTTTTGCTTAATATATATGTTGTAGCTATGCAGCTGATTGACGTTTTGGCAAACCTCAGCTGATGAGCTATTGTTTCAAAAGTAGGATCAAGTGAAGCGGATACATTTCTTTCTCTAAAACTGCTTACATTTTGTGAACGGAGTATAGTTTTAAAGTTCTATATGGTAAACATAAGAATACACGTCATATAAACTAACAAAAAAAAAAAAAAAAAACAATAGTTGAGTTCAAAACTGAAAACACATCTACCATCCTCTTTAAGAATTACAAGAATATAAAAATCAGCTAGAGAAAATACAGAATAAGAACAAATTACATAAACATGAAAGAAGAGACAGGGTGCTTCAAAGATAGAAGTGCAGGTAGAGAAAGAACAAATGCTGTAAGAAATAATATACAACATGAAATGCGATAATCATGCAGGTCATTAAATGTCGACTACCTATCCTAGTCTTCGGCCTTTAGGTCTTCCTTCTTGATCCGCTTCTGAAAATCATGATTACTCTATAATGACATGTTTTAGTAAATTGGTGGACTAGTACTGAGTACAGTTGTACAAATAGTGAGTTGAATAAATATGGTGGTTAGAGAATATTACTACTGTAGATCCTCCTAAAAATAAATTTTAGTTATTTTGCGAAGTGACATTGTGTGTAAGTCAAGGCAATTAACTAGGAAGGAGGATTTGTAAGTGACAAATATTCATTTTGAAATATACCTTATGTAGCTTGCGGTATTTTGATATACATATTCCATTGATTTTTCTACATTAAAATAAATCATATGCCTACTTTGGGCACTGAACAGTCTTTATGATATCAGTCCAATTTTTAAAATTTGAACAGCTAAAAGAACATTTATTCAACGCTAGAGCGTGGATTCTTGTTCTTAAATCAATATTCTCACTACGGAAGAAATTTTTTTTAAAGGCGCATGTATGAAATTGTTTATCGAGGCTAACTGCTGTCTGGGTCCATGGATAAAAAACACCCTTCCCCGCAAACAATATTAAAACAAAATGATTTAAAACCTATTTTTTGACTGCATAAACACCAGAATTCTCTTTTAAAATAATGTCTACATACTTATTTGCCTATATCATCTTTAACAATATTGTAAATTAATTTAAACAAATTTCCAAATTAAAATAGGGTAAAGGAGAATAGTAAAACAATTTTGATCAAGAAGGCTTAAAAATATCTGATCAGAGATCACTATTCAAAAGATATGATTTCAACAACAAACAATTTTATACCTGTCAATTATTCATTGCAAATTCAAGTTAGGAGTTAAGGTGTTTTCCTAGCAACCAAATTCAACTGCTGAATATGGTTGTGGGATTGTGAATGACTAGTGATCTTCTATATTCATGGTACAAAACGCATTGAAGGCAGCTTAGTAAACCTGCCTTAACAGTGTCAACTATACCCTTCTGTGTTTTACTTTTACGGAAAATTTATTAGTACACTCAGCAAAACATAAAGACAATAGTAAAGTATTAATTGTTATCGTTGGTCAAGTAAACAAAAGGGACAAAGAATTAACATCAATTATCAACTAAAACAAGAGAAAACAAAAAACCTAGTTTAGTTCACACCATAGGATGATATACAATAATTAATTAGTACAATAACACCAAATTAATTAGTCACAAGTGAAAGTAACCGTGTGAATAACTCACCATGATTCTGGCCTTCTCTTTGCAAGCAAAGTCCGTTTCGTCAACGTCGTGGTAACAATCAGACTTGTAATCCTCGGGGATCGGACCTCCGTCAAACTCACAAAGTTTGTTTAGTGGTCGAGCTCTCACGATCATTTTGTCAATACCTGCACAATAGTATGAGTTACTTCAAAGGATGTTGTGGTCATAGAATAAAGAGTAAAAGTCTTACTTTTGGAGGTATAATTTCCAGTTGCTTCAATGTTCCATGTCAGAAAATGTAATTCAAGTTCTGATAAGAACAACAATTAGTGTAAACTCCTCCTGGACCTGGATCATCTTAAGCATCTATGTTCAGTTGTGGTTAACTGGTACTTTTAATTGTTGTTGGGTAGTTAATTCCAAAAGATATTTTGTTAAACTTTCTTTCTATTAAGAAACATTCTATGATCTATCATTATTTCAATTTGATGATATGGTCCATATAAAACTTTTGTTTACCCAACTATGCTGTGAGGGGCCACAGAGAAGAAAGGTACATAGGAAACTTGCTTATGGGACGATCGTGCTTTCAGCTCTAGTAAATTGTGTCGGGATTATACTTGTGACAAAGAGGAAAGAGGCTCCCCCTCACCACCATGTGCTACAGCGGTCACAATGGAAGACCATGAGTTCTGTGCGATAGGAATTTATGCACAATTGCACAGTGCTCGTCATTCCAGCTCTTTGAAAGCACAGGACTCGGGCACAGGATCTTCCTCTACTGTTACCGCTGTAGCACATGATGGTGAGGGGGGGGGGGGGTGTTGGACTTTGCCCTAGACACCAGCACTAGTGCTAGGTTTCCTCTGTATCTTACTACTCTATGGAAGGGCCAAAAGCTTATCTAAGACCCCTCTTTGACCGCGTTTTAAATGCTGGTGCAAATGTAGCTCTGATTTTTGACCATGCAATACTTATAATTGTTCTATAAATAGACACACCGGTGGGTTTGTGCTGAGGACAGTAAAATACTCCTGGTGTCTTCTTGTCAAACACAATTGACTTCTTCAGCATGTCTTTAGCCTCCACTGCCACCTACAAAAGATGTGTTAAGTTTTGGATACAAAAGATTTACTTCCATTGGACAAAATTTCAGGATAAGTGAATTTCACGTTGCTTCATTGAGTTTTTATTCAAACAGATTAATAATCACAGGTTTTTCCATTATAATATGGTATCGACTCAGTGAGAACTTAAGTTGGTTATGAGGGTGAAAATATCAATGGTTCAATTGTCCTTGAAAGCTTAATATGAAATTGAGATGTTTTTACCAAATTTTATAAAGGTATAATATCCATATACGCTGGCTACAGCACTAATATGAGAAAAACATGGGGGACAACTTACATTATTTAGCACTTCATCTTCATCTTGGTTTCCATTAGTATGGACATGTATTGTGTTAATTTGTTTGTTTTTTAAGATGGTTTGAAAGGTGAAAATACATTTCAGAAACTTAAAAATATGGTATGGTACCTACTTTAAACAATTTGAAACAAAGAAGGAAAAGCATATTTTTTAGTACAAAACCCAACATACTACTTTAAATGGTAACCAAATTACACATAAGAAATCAATACCAAGATTTTTATTTTACCACCTTCACCAACTTTTTTAAAATTCAACACATTTTTTACGAACCAGAATAAAGAGAAGAGCGACAGCTAACCCCCTGACATCTGGAACAAAAACAAAACAAATATAAAACTTTATTCTAAATTGTTTGATAACAAAATCAAATTGCATCGTTCTTCTAAATAACAGTTATGTTAGAGGATTGCATGCAATGAGACGTCACACATGATGAACATCAGATGCTTGCGTTACTTCTTGTGTGGTATGTTTTGTTGACTCTCGGTTTTGGTGAAATTGAATAGAAAGCGTGAAGTTATAGTTCAGTTTTGGACCAAGATACAATTGACTTTATGATGCAAGTATAAGACGGTTGTTTAATCTTTTCCATATGTCTCATAACGCTAAAGTGTGTTTGTATGGACAAAATAGTTCTATTGTTTTTATTCAAAATATTTCAGTGATGGGCTCTTTAGTTAAACCTTTTAGACATTCCATACCCATATTTGTAGACAGGTTTTTTATCAAAATTGTCGTAGTTTATGTGAGCCACAACCAGATTGCGCTGATCTAAATTACTAAATTCTGTCAAGTACAGTACACACACTTTTTTACCAAGTCAAACTTAGGGAATGACTTATGGTGACCTATAGCAACTGATATGTCCCACTCCCATCAACCTGGTCAGCACCAAAAAATAAGGTATACAATAGAGTTTTAGTCCCTAGCGCATTCTGTGTTTGACTCACACAACTTTGTTTCTTTTTTAGTAAAAAATTGGTGACAGCTGGCCCATAAAGATTGGATGTCTACTTCAGTATCCAATAGTCAATGGTTATAGGCAGTGGCGGTCTCTCCCCCCCATGAAATATTTTATATTTTATTAGCTAACATAAATACTATTAACTCGAGCATATTTTAGAGCTTAAATAAGTAACTTCTTGATCAGCATTGTACGTGTTATTAAATTTACGGAAAGTAAAAGAAACGTCTTATAACACTTAAAACATATATTTACGCTTATAATGTTACTCACAAGACAGTAAATATACAAAAAAGGTGGTAAGTGGTGATCGATTTCGATTGGACACTCCAATCATCATCACATTCGCCTATTGGGTCTGATGATGATTGGAGTGTCCAATCGAAATCGATCACCACTTACCACCTTTTTTGTATATTTACCGTCTTGTGAGTAACAGTATAAGCGTAAATATATGTTTTAAGTTTTATAAGACGTTTCTTTTATTTACTTTCCTTAAATAAGTATAAAAATATGTTTTAGGCTTTAAATTCCACATTTTTTTCAGGGGGGGGGATCCCGGACCCCCTTTTCTCTGGGGGACATTCAATACCCCCAGACCCCCTGGTGGTCATTCCCCCCGAAGTGAAATTCTGGAACCGCCACTGGTTATACGATACGTTTATATAGTCAATGGTTTATACTTATTATACCAGAGAACAAGAAGTATTTTAATGATGAACTTTTGACGTTCTCCCTCGGGGTACATAGTTTATGGAGGAAGTATTGATTTGTGAAAACATTTTAGTTTGAGTTTCTGATGAAATATCCTTTTTGGCTCCCTCTGAACCCCAAAAAAGTGGTTTTAAAAATGATGTCTGTATGTGTGTGTGTGGATCTGTAGAGAGCTATGTACTGACTACACCTGTGGTCCGATTTTTATGAAATTTGGTTTGTAGGTTCTAATTTAATTTATAGCATCTCCAAAGTTTTTTCCCCTTTTTTGGAATTTTTTTTATTCAGATTGTTACATAAAATAACAGAAAATCTGATTTTCACAAAAGAACTGTTAGAACGATTTGTATTAGAATTTAGCATTTTAAAGTCCTTTTAACTCGTAACAAAATGTTACACCTATCATTACAGTGCATGAGAACAGTAATGTAGTAAGTAATGAGTATAGAAAGAGTACCTACCTACTTATTAATTAAGAACAGTAGTAGGACCTTATACAGCTAACTTTCAGGTGCTGCAAATAAACTGATGGTGTTGCAATTGGGTGTGATGTGAGTTTTTTAAGATTATAAAAAACTTTTTTTAATCCTAAGATGGATTCAAGATTATTTCCTATCTAAACTATGTGAGGTAGGTTTAAATAATAAAAAGTGAGTTAAGTAGAATAGAAGAATAGAATAGAATAGAACAACTGCTTTATTGATTACATATTATGTACAGTACATGAAATAAAAACAGTAGTTTTGTTATATAGCACACATACAAAAATGGTCATATGACCAACTGCTGGGTTGGCATAGTGTCCATTCAATATTATTTGTCCCATATAATTAACATATGAAGCACTAAAACAAAATAAAATACCCTTCTTTAGGCAACATATATACATAGGCTACATATATACACATACACATGTATGCATACATGCACATATATGTATACTTTAAACACAGTTGTATGCTTTAAAAAGTGAGTTTATAGTAAATAGTCCACATTACTCTGCATTAACTTAACCTACTCCATTTTAGATTAAAAAAATCCTTTTTTGAAGAGGACATTGAATGGAAACTAGATGGGTCATTAAATTATATAGACCATCTTCCGAAGGCTTAACTTGATTTTTAATGTTTACTTAAATTTTGATTACATTGAGTTAAAATTGTCATCAATCTTATTTAGAGCATTTCAAACAGCATGTTTTAGTATAATTATAACATTGATTTAAATCTTAAATCATAGAAAAACTCTCTTGGTGTTGACAATGTCAATGCAAACTTTGATGTTAGTTTGATTTCAGGAGTTTAATTTGGTTTTGAGTGCCATTATCATTATTATTTTCACAATTAATCATGTTAGAATATCTTAACTTAGACTGCCTGTGTTGTTGTTGCCTGTGTTGTTATTGCCTGTATTGTGGCTGCCTGTATTGTGGTTGCCTGTATTGTGGTTGCCTGTGTTGTTGTTGCCTGAGTTGTTGTTGCCAGTGTTGTGGTTTCCTGAGTTGTTGTTGCCTGTGTTGTTGTTGCCTGTGTTGTATTTGCCTGAGTTGTTGCTGCCTGTGTTCTTGAATAGGTAGGATGTTTGTGTCTCTCTATGCATTTTGCCAGCTTGTATTGTACTTCAGGGATCTTCTTAATTTATCTTCTTATCACTAACAAAAAAAATATTTGTAAATATAGACTATGCCTACACAGTGTTAGTAGTGGTACGTATGTGATGAGGAAGACCCCTGGATGCCACACATAGTGGGAAAATGCATAGTGAGTGACACAGATAACGGTCTTAACTGCCTACAAAGGTAATCAAATTCAATTCAGGTTGTTAAAACTGTGATGGCAAAACACGTGTTTAATCATTTATATATTTTTTTATCATTAGGACTAGTAAGTTATAATTTCAACGTGGGATATGTCCAGAGTTATTAGGTATGTAACGAAATGCATTTACTCAAATGTAGCAACTGTATCTGATTTCCCAAAGAAAATTTTGTACAGCAAATGATGTAATGCAGTGAGCAAATATTGCCCAGACCCAGGCACCAACCATAACCTCCTTGACATTCTATATAAGGTCATGTAAAGTTAGTGGGCGCTGGTGACTGGACAAGATTACGTGTATGATAAAATTACCACATCCTTCAACAGACGAAGTCAAATAAGAGTCTTTTTCTCTTTTAATATAAAATATTCACAGCAATAACGTAATTCGCTAAAGCTAATTCAAATCAAAGGCAAAATTAGTCTTGAAACCTTTGGAGAGACTTCGACGAACTATTTGTCTGAAGAACGTAGAAAGTTCAGAGTTGACATAAAGTTTGTGATTGATTATAAGAATAGGTACTGTACTTACTCGAAACCATTGTAGTTGTAGAGTTGGTTTTCTTGCACGTACAAAGGAATACACTTTTGACACTAGGTGTAACTGATAAAACTAACAGAACAAATCCACTCAGATGTACAACACTGGAAAGGAGCGATAACTGAAACTGAACTACTACTGAACTGCGGACTCGCGGAGTGTGGTGGTGGAGTGGAGGTAGGAGAAGGAGAATGACGTAGACGTGACAAAGACGAAGACAAAAACGAAACAATCTCTCTCCTCCCTCTCCCACACTCTCTCTTTCCTTAGTCTCTAGCCAGGTAAGATGGGACCATGGTGGAACTTGGGAGAGGAAGGTGGGGGAACAGAGAGAGAAGGCAAGGGTCAGATGGATTTGGATGTGGATAGAGAGAGAGACTGAGAGACAAGATAATCTTTGAGAGACCACGTCATCGCACACAGAACAGTTGCCACAAAAATAGTATATATTTCATTATAAAGTACTGAAAGTGGCATTTTCCGATGCGCGATCAAGTTTTAACGTGTGTGGAAGAGTTTCATGAGTGAAGCTGAGGACGGGAATGATATACAGCATTTTATAAGCAATTTCCTGAAATTTCCGTTGGTAAAAGTTATGAACGATGATTTTCACCACAACGAAAAAATATAACTAATAACAGACCTAGATAAAAAGGAAATACTGTACCACCGTCTTTTGTTCCTGGATATTTTTTCTCGTAGGGTAAAAAAATATCCCAGGTTCTCGTGGGGTAAAATACATGTATTGGTACTTGTTTGTTGTCACTGTTCTTGGTTAATAGATATGTTCATCCTCAAACCATTTAGGTTCTGTCACAAATGTGTATATTTATTTCCCACAAAATATGTTTTTCGTTAAGTAACTTTTTTTCTACTATGCACACTTTATCATTTCTCTCATAATGCATTTCTTCGTCCAAACTATCTTTATATACTTCAACACCGCTCCAAAGTGCATTTATCAATTTTCACCAAACTCGTTTTTTTCTAGACTTTACACTGTGTTGTAGTTATTAGTATATCATACACGGTCTCATTATATTCTCGACGCGAAGAACGAATTCCGGATCTTGTTAAAAACTTGTAACTGAATCGTAGGTAATTGTTTCTGATTTTTGTTAGAATTTCATTTGAACGTGCTCAAGTTGATATTTTATAAACATCAAACATTTTGGTTGTGTTTGGGAGGGAAGAGGTCTAAAAAGGGGGCACCCACTCACCCCCTTCTGGGTCACTTAAGTTTCAGTTCCTGGTTATGTAGCTTCGACGCCTACGCTCTGGCGAACATATTTTGCAAATCGAATTAGACTTTCAGATGACAGCTTTCTCTTATAAATAATGAGTATTGAGTATTCATACCTTCCGTAACTCTTACTTTTCAAACGAGTTTAATTCATTGCTATACATGATCTCAGATTCTATAAGCAAAAACATGATTATAAATTAAACCAGAACAGAAGAAACGATAGAATTTGAATGAAAATGAAATATATTAGATTAGTCGTAGACTACTCGATAACTCGAGTAACTTTGATCTGATGTTGATAAAATTTTACACAGATGTGTAGACTGGATAAACTTGATAGAGTTCGCGAACCAGCAAGATTACGAGATTGAAACTGGGGTTTTGAAGTGTTTACCCTTATAAAAATGCCCAATTTCCTTTCAACCATTGTGTACAGCTCGAAAAAAAATAATTTTGTATGTTGAGCGTAACGCAACAACGTAACGTTGTATAGTTAAAGATAACGGAAAAAATTCAAAAATCCCTCATTTTAAAATGTTTGTGTTATTCTTATACATTTGTACTATTGTACTTTGCTTCCTTAGAGCTATGTTTTGATCAAATTCTGCAAATTTAGGTATTTCGCACTATACCAAGTAAACACTTTTCTCATTCCCTGTAGTAGCAAAACTATAAATACTCGTTAAAATGTTATTTAAATAGGGAATAAATCGGACATGTTTAAGGAAATGTTTTAGTGCGGTGGGGATATCATCATTGACTAGGGTGTTTCCAAATTGTCTTGATATATTTTGTGGATACATTCCTTGGGCTAAGACAAACATAAAATGCCATATAAGTAAGGGTCTAAAATGCCTAGATTTCTGTCTGTCTGTCTGTTTGTGATTTTTAAAATCAGTTTTTTTTCTTGGGCATTTTTCAAGTTATAAATTTCAAAATTGTATAAATGTGTAGTTTTGAAGGTAAAAAGTGCGTAACAAATTTCGCTCCAATACCTCAAGCCATTTCAATATGGCGGCAATTAATCTTTAATGCCAAATTCCATGAAAACCAAAAATATTAAGAAAATGGTTTTTATAATAGAAAAGATAGACATTTTAAATCCAAATCAAATTAGACCTTTTTTGTTAAAATCTGATGACAAACAACCGAGTTATCAGTTTTGTATACATTCGGTAGCACCTAAAGAGCAGAAAAGTTCTTTTAAATTGCGTAACCGATTGTAGAAAAAAACTTATAACTCGGTTGTTTGTAATCCAAGATATGAAATATTAAAAAAAATTACAGACCAACAGAAATCTAGGCATTTTAGACCCATACTTATATGGCTATGTCTTATCCTAAGGAACAAGTCCACAAAATATGTCCAGGCAATTTGGAAACACGTTGTATACCATCTATGGTATAAAGTAAGAGGTATTATACTCTCTTGCCAAATTCCAATATATCGCTCGATATGTTAGAATGAACACAGCCTTGCAACGTCGTTAAATGTTACACCATAGTTTATAGCGTCGTAACAGTAACTGCTCTAATCTCGCTCTAAACCTAGATATTGCTGTCAGCTGTCGTATGAATTGTCGCATATTGGCCGCTGCTGAATTGTTCCGCTAGCAATGTAACTTTATCGTACATTTGTGTGTTGACAATTATTGATACCAATTGATAGTGAAGTTGACGTCTCATATATGTGGTCCGGGAGTCTACAAGATCGAAAATTTACTACGTAGGTTTACACGTTTATACAAAATTTCATCAAAATCGGATAGTATTTGCTCGAGTTATCGTGCTAACGGACACACACATACATATATATTTGCCTCTAGGGACCTCAAAACGAAAAAGTAAATCGGTCCCGGGTCCAGGTCTTACCATGAGTACTACGGTAATAGCTTATTCTTATGTGGGAAATTCGCTAACAGGTTGTAGTTAGCTGAAGCCTGGTCCAACTTCCAGGTTCCAGTTCCAGTAATGTTTGTTTCTAGTTCCGTTACAAAACTGGGTCTATTCAGTGTTCAGAGCAGGGAACGAATGGTAAGCCACCGTGTCGGGTCGGGCCCGTTGCCGCCGTCTGCAACAACGAAAATGCACAACAGCTGTTACATTGTCGATGCTTGGATTTCAAGTAGCCTGTATGATGGGTCATATCTACTGGCCGGTCTACTTGGGACTGTCACGTGCTTTCATAAGTCAGTCCCAGGTAGACAGGGCCAGGAGACAGGTTCCATCGTACAGACTATAGAATTTTGAACATTCAGTGCAGTAAACACCCTCTCAACCGACCCTCACGTGGAGTCTTAGGTCGTAAAACGAATAGGTCGGTTGAAACTCGAACAATACAATAAAGTAAACAACCGTACAAACATGTTTATGGATTGTATAATTGAAAACCCTAGCTGCAATCAATGCTTGATTGTGCTACGTTTTACAATAAAGTGTACCCAAGTAAAAGTATGCAAAAATATCGTGTACTAACATATTATTTTGTTTTAAACTTCAGAATAATATTGTACAGAATAACATGGGAATTTTAAATTAAATTTTTTTTTGAATTTTCTCCGTAACCAATCACCGTAAAAAACACGTTGATACACAAAATTATTTGTTTTTAAGCTCTTTAAAAAATCTGGAGAAAAATTATAAATTTTGTGTTTTAAGGGTAAAAAGTGAGAAAACCCCATTCTACCCCATAACACCCCTCGTTAAACCCCGTTCCCATGGTCCGATCATGTTGGTTCGCGAACAAATCCAAGTTTATCCCGCATTACACCTTCAAACCAAATTTAATCGAAATCGGACAAAAATTACTCAAGTTATCGTGTGCACGGACATATACAGCGTGTTAAACTGTATCAGTTTAGTACATGCCTCCGCTCTCATGGGTGTCTAGAGTCTATAGTCTGTATGATGGAACCTGCTCCTGACCCTTTATCTACCTGTGGTCTGGCCAGGTTTAGGCCCCAAGCAGACCTAGGGTCGGGAGACAGGTTCCATCATACAGACTATAGATGTTTATGCAAGACGGTGACGTCATTGTTCCGTTACATAGAGCTACAGACCGTATCGAGTAGACCAGTTACCCCAGATAGTTACATAGTTGAATAGGAAGACTTTAGCACTGCATCAAACCTCAATCCATTGATTATTTTTGTGTGATTATGTTAATTCTATCGCGAAACACAGAAAACCTGCTGACTAAATTATTTCCACCTGCCCTTAAACATGTTGTAGTGTTTGCATAGTAGAAATTGAAAGGTTGCCGGTTCGATCCTGAGAAATGTATGTACTTGTACTTTTTATTGGCCCGAAACTGAACTCAGCTCAGGCTTTTAATAAATTACCATGACAGCTGTTCGTAGTCAGTAACAAAGCATTATACTCCATTCCTTAAACTTACAAAATCTTCCTTAACTTTTTTGGGGTTAAAATACGCACATAAGTGGCGTCTCCATCCCAATGATTGATATTGATCATTGAACTCCTGTTGACATATTCACTTGTCAATAATTTAATAAAAATCAAAGCATTCCGTTTAAACTGTGTGGTTGTAAAACACTTTATAAGTTCACACCTCCAATGATCTTCACCAAGGTAAAAAACGTGTTTTAGGATTTTTGGTTGTATGAATTTCACATTTTACTAATTTATACATCCGGAGCGAAGCGAAACACATTGACAACAGCTGGTTATCACGACTTTGCTAGCGCCTTCTTTTACAACACTGCTATTTAAGTTACAGTAATGTGTTATTAGCACGAGTTTGTACTTTACAGGAGCAAATTTAACACCAGAAAAACTAGGTTTGTGATGATTTGGCTAAGAAAACTTAATTTGCTCAATTGGCTTAAAAACATTGCAATAGTTACTTAACTGAATAAAACATAATACCAAATTAATTTATGTGGTTAATGAGTGC